AAGAAGGAAGATGGGACAATAAATGAATTAGTGCACCAATAAACATAACTACAAGAAGGAAGATGGGACAATAAATGAATTAGTGCACCAATAAACATAACTACAAGAAGGAAGAAGGAACGATAAGTGAGTTAATGCACCAATAAACATAACTACAAGGAAACAACATAACTGAGAAAAATCATAGACCAAAAACAACGTTTTGTATCCACCTATATATTCGTGTTATATTTCTTTTGCATGTTTTTATTTTGTAAGATGCTATGCAACCCCACACCTACATGCAACTTGTTACGTAACGTACGTGTATATATTAAAATTAATTAGCATGCATTCCGGTGAGAAATTCAACCAATTTCCTTCTTTGTAGAATTAGCGCTGTAGTAAAAAGATGGAGCGACAAGACTCTGTATACATGTATATTTTCTAATGTTTTAATTTCATGTTCAACCAAATCATGGAGTGCTTTCACTGAAAACCTAGGTGTGAACCTAACAAGAGTTAAAAATTATTTTCGATGTACGGTTTTACGTATACCTGCATGGTTCACATATGTGATTTTCATGTGCGAAAGTTGTATGATACAATAATTTCGATTGGTTACTTCTTGATAAATGTAACTACAAAGCTATGCTGCTGCACTGAATCCCCAAGTATAAGTGCTTCTTCCTCTTGGTAACATTTTATTATTCCTGCCGTAATTTAACACAATGAAAAGTCAGACGTGTCTGTGGGAATAACTAGAAAAAATAATCAAAGAAAACAGCTTCTTTCTTTAAGAAGGTTAACGAGCTGGTAACTTATAATTTAACGTAATAATAAAATATTAGCTCAAAATTACGACCTGTAAAAGATAAAATATCTTACTACAACGAGTTAATCAAATTAAATGTTTACTTTCCAGAAACTATACACACATACAAATATATATATATATATATATATAGTACCATAATTAGACACTAGGTAGAAGCACCATTAACTAAATTCATTCGGAAGCATCATACATGCTCTGATTTCGATAATTAAGAAACCTTCCTTACTGAAACATGATTCTTTATGTTAGCTCGTCCTCATTCTTAAAAACCTTTCATTTTACATTGTTATGGGTGCACGTCACTGCACATACTCTCTCTACCGTTCTTCCTTCACTGTTATTTTGATAATTAGAGAGATAAAGACATGATGGTGACACATAGTTTTATTTATCTACTCAGCAGCATCACGTTATTTGAAAATATTACTTATAAATAGAAGTATCTTCTGAACACATCTAAATTATACTCGTTACAGGTGACAGTTCTAGTTTTAACCATTTTAAGATAACACTTAATAGTATACTTGTATGAATGGCACGCGAAAAAAAAAATATATGCCAAGTTTGGAGAAGGTTTTAAAAGCCACACTTATTAACTATACAGCAAAGATACCTCTGGTGTTAACATCGAGTAATCAACCATTACTTATCAAGCCTTATCCATTAGCCAAGATTAGTAATTCTGCAACATAAAAAACAAACACAGAACGTCCCAAGCGCACTGTGCTGTAGAGACACACAAGAATTTATTTCAAACCTGAGCTGTCGAACTGGCAACAGTCTTTCATCGGGTCTTATTGATTGTTTTGTGCCTCTGACGAAGAACAATCGCCATCCCGAAAGCTCAAATTTCAAATAAACATAATGGTGTTGGTTCACAAAAACACAAATAAAAATATTCATGTTTTTGTCAACCATCACGAAATTCAAGATGGCGCCGCTGACATGATATTCGCATTTTGCTGAATTCACATAGCTCCCGATAGAGGGAAGTTTTTTGGTGTAATTAATAATCATTCCAAATTTGTTAATTGTATGTGTGTATACTTGATAATACTACATTACATTATATAGTAATACATAATGCATAATGAATGATTAAAAAGTTATGAGTCAACACGTATTTTGGGTTGACATTGGCTAGAACATCCTTAGCATTATATTTTCACCAGCACATAATGAGGCGGCTGTTTTTTTTAACTACTTATTAATACTACATTAAGAGTTATAAGACCCTTATCGTTTCTGATGGAAGTCCAATTACCCTTTACAAACATTTTTTTTTACCTTCTTCTAACGTATAAACTTTTCACAGGGAAACCAACAATAATATGACTAATAAGTCCGAATTCAGTTTTAACAGTTTAAAATTCTCAATAATGAAAAACGTTTTATTTGTGAGAAGATAAGAACAGTGTCGTAACTCGAAGAACATTTTAACAGAATAAATATCACATTTACATACATCTTATATACACGTTTTGTTGGAAGAAGATACTTGAAAACTGTAGAAATACACTGAACGATATTAACATGAAATTTTAAATTGGAATTTTTAACAAAGAAACTTTGTATGAAAACTTCTCTAATTGAAAAGATTCCAAAGTCTGGCTAGAAGTACATACAAAAAAAGGGCTTGGAAGATCACGATGATGAGAGATATGTAAAAATACGATCGTTTAACGAAATCTTCAAACTATCATTAAATGCTTCGAAGAGAAGTAGTGGAATCTAAGGACGAGCTTCAAAATCTAACAGTTACCATGGAAACGGAAGCTCCAAAAGGATAAATATATACAAGTCAGCATGGTTACTGACTTCGCTATCCTTAAACCACGAGACTGGAATGAGAAGTATATCAACCTTAGAAGGAAAGAGTGAAAAAAAAACAGAGGAACGAATGAGCAAATATTTTAATTATATCGTGTGTTTATAAGAAGTAAATATTTTTGTTAAACTCAGGAAAAAGTTTTCTTTTATCTCAGAAGAAAAAAAATTATTCTACTTTTATTACTTTCACCAATTAAAATCAAACAAATATTATTTAAACATTTTACGGAAAAAGTGTTTACCACAGTTAAGAAGCAATAATTAATAAGTAAATTAAATAACTTAGTACTTAGTCTTATATGTTTAGACCCCAAATATCAAATGAAGTGAGAATAGTCTTGTCCTTTCGAAAGACAGCAGTTCTCGAAAAATTAGCCGTACTTATAGCTTTACTTTAAACAAGTTAGTGTTCGCCACCTATTACTGCAAAAACACGCTTCGCCGTTCGTGTGTTATCAGAGAGACGGCCGTTGACAAGCTATCTTTGTTCTAGTCTAACACCTCCGAACTAGGGATGGCTATGCGCATAGCAACTGTCGATTAAAATCTGACACAACATGAAACACGATAAATTAAAAATATACACCTATTGGAATTTATCAAAGGCGAAATATAGCCTTATGCCAAACAACTATTATATTAAACTGGCTATTGAAATAAAACTATCATATTTAATGGGCGAGGGAAGAAGCAAATAAATGCGCGTGGTTAACAATAACCAGGAAGAGGTAGTAGTTTTATCTAGTTCCTCAATTTTCAAAAGTTTTATATACCAGATGCTAAAGCGATTGTAAAGCTAACAATAAAACGGTACAATAACATCATTTCTATGTTTCCGAATCAAAGCTTATATTACTACTTTAAAGTAGTTTTTCCTAATCAGTTTTGATCACTTTAAAACATCTTTTCAGAACGTAAAGCTTAGAATTTTGTCGAGAGCATTGTAACCAATTGATTGTATTTAATTTTAGTGCCATCTAGTGGCGAATCAATAACCATTATCGAATCATGGGAGTTATCAACTAAATACTAAATTCCCGAAAACGATGTCTTCTGGGGTATATGCTTTAAGACGCTTGCAATATCTAGAGTTAAACTGTAAGAGCAAGATAAGAGTTTCAGTAAATTGTAGCTTAGACAAAATGTGTTAGTTAAAACAAAATGTCATGGAAATCTGGAAAAGTATTTCAGATCACTTTGCTAGCATAAAAACTGAATATTTTTTTTCACGGTATTTTATTTATAGGATATATTTGTTCTTTATGTTTGAAAACGCCTTTTTGCTGGTGCAACTTACATTTGTTGACTTGTGTTTAACTAGGACTTTCGACAGAACAAATTCATTGGAAATCTGGGCTTGGTGTCCGTTGGTGCGGCCATTATCATGGGCATCTGATTCTTCTGAGTTATTGTAATCTAAATGTGGATTAGAAAAAAAAAACACTTTTAGAACTCAAATATTTTCTGTGTTAAGGTAAGGACTTTGAAATTCGCGATGTTATCAATGAAAAATAAGTTTAGTAAAACACTGCACAAACTGTTTGTTCTCTGTACTGGATGCCTTGTATATTTATTAGGTATTACAATTTCAAGTCTTTATTGATTCTCCACGATTAAAAGATGCAGTAAGACTTAACAAGTTTACCTGCAGTTTTATCTGTATTCTGCTTCAGTTTGCCTGAGTTGCTTAGAAAAATTGTTTGGGTTTAGAATGCTTGCTGTTAAGTAAACAAGAGGGAATCCTCAATAGCCGCGGCAATTGAAATTATTTTAGGCAGAAATAGAGTAAATTCGTCTATGAGACCTTTTGTTTTCCTTTTTATTAGCTATATTTTTGTGTGCTAGCAATATCAAACATGGGGCGCGCATATATCTGATTCGATTTTATTACTCATCAGGATCTCTACCAGCCTACCGTCAAATTGAAACTATTTTAGGCAGGATTAAAGTAAATTAATCTACGAGACCTTGGGCGTGTTCAAATACATCAGTCAAAAGGGTTTGACCTCCTGAGCCCAAAACTGTAATTAGATCTCAACTCGGTCAAGAGATGACGGAGCTATGAGCTAAAAGTTTGTACTTAAAAAAAAGAAGAAAAAAACTCACAGCCATTCTATGAGCCGTTATGCCGCGGATAATAAAGGCGTTGATTACCAGTTACTTTGTTTGAAGGAATTTTTACCTAATTTGCAACATGAATAATAAATTAAAGACTTATTTTCCTGTCGTTCTAATACAAACTGCTGAATTTGACTAATATCTATGTGTGTATTTTATTTTATTTTTTAGTTTGTTTGAAATTAAGCACATAGCTACACAACGGGCTACCTGTGCTCTGTCCACCACGGGTATCGAAATCCGATTTCTAGCGTTTTAAGTCAGCAGATATGCCGCTGTGATATTGGGGGGGGGGGGCTCTATGTGTATACACCGGCATTTAAGATCCTTCTGAGATCGAGAGTGTATGTTCTCAAAGACGCTTAAAAACAAAAAATGGTATCAAAAATATTTTTAAAGTATGAGACCCGATTTACTAATAAAGAACTTTACATGTATTAATTCATACTTTGCTGCAGCTGGTATTTGAGTTTTGAATAAAAAAATAACGCATTAACATTTCATTTTTTATTTGTTTTCGTCAAGCATCTCAAAGTGCTAATAAAGTCCATACTTTGAAAAAAAATAAGAAGCAAATAAATTATGGGATAATATTTTTTTTAATTCAAAACGTATTCTCAAAGGTGAGCAGTAAAGATGACAAACATTTGGCGCATAAAACATGGCGTAAGAATATATTCCAAAACAGCATAATATACATATTTCTGACTGTAAGTAAAGAAAGTACTAAAGTTTGTATGGAAAACTTTATACATAGTACTCTTATTTGACTTATTGGTCTATGACAGTAAGTGATGAAGATAGTTACAAAAGAAATATATTTTATGAGACTCTGATCTTGTAAGAAAAATATTTTTATTTATTTTCACAGGTTAAAAATTATGCTTTCGAGCTGTTTCCTCTACACCTTATGGTAATCTCGTTTTGCATGTAAAGACATTATTGTTAGCACTACCAATGTCAGTCACTTGAAAGGCGTTGTTAATGGAGCGCATCTGTAAAGGAAAGTTTGAACGCCGTTTGGAGCTGCTAGCCCAGTTCTCCATCATTGACCTGATGAAGGTCTGCGCTGGAAGCTGGAAACGTCATCCAATAAAACCTTCCTAGAATGATGCGGTTTCTTAATAACCATATATACTCTCCTCGATCTAAACCTTCTCTCAAGTAAGAAATGTCAGTCTCTATTATGGAGTTACTTTTACATCTGATGTGTTTTGTCTTGTGGAAGTGAATGTTTCTACTTATAAATCTCCCCGCTTCTTCTTTTTAACAAACTGGGTAGAGAAATTTACAAAATTGACCTGAAATTTCATTATGTCCATTAATGTTAATATCGCCTTATATATTGACAATATGTTTCTGATTAGTTGTGAGTCTACAAACAACTGAACTAAGCACACAATAAACCAAAACAAACGAAAGGTATAGCTTTTTAATAGCGTGTTTATAAGCAGGATCACGATCTTACTGTACGGGTTTCAAAGCTAGAACACACTCTAATTCCAGCTATATATTGTATTTTCACCTTAGAAAAATAGAGGCCTAACGACTCCTAGTGTTACGTAATAATCTTCCCCACAAAAAAATAAAATAAAATCTTAAATGGCATTACCGAGTATGCGTAATTGATATAAATCAGAATAAAAATAACGGTGTACATGTTTCATTCTCTTTGATTTTGTATGTTTACCATTTTTAGTCATGTTTTTATTTTCAATTCTCTCTAAACTAAAATCAGATTCATGTATTTGCATCCTTTTCAGATCGATAATCAACCTGGAACTGGCTCGCTCCGTCTCAGCTACCGCTTTATACTTCAAGCAGCATGCATACAACCACTCCTTTCTTCGACTTCCGGCTCTCGTCTCACTTCATTCACGGCCTCTCCGGCTGTCTTGAGTCACTGCTTACCACGGTGACATATCCATCAATCACGTTACATTAACAATCACCCAGTTTTCAAATAACTTAAACCCTTAGTACTAAACTTTTCTTGATCTTCAAAAATTAGTTCTTGTCCCTAAACATTTTTGCCCTCACTTTAAAACTTTAAAAATAAACCAAAGTTTAAGATCGCCTTCAGGTCCTTTCGGGATGTGAAAGCTTTAAAATCAAGCAACTGCCAAGATTGGATCGGACTGTAAGATTCGTTGTTCACATTGTGGAACAAGACAGTAATGTTGGTTACCATTGTTGAGAAGAATTATAATAATGGTAGTTAAAATTGTTGAGATGTGACCAGATTGGTATTATTTTAACCCGTTATTGACTGTTTAAGTGATAATTCTGTACCCTGTAAGTTATAGTGATTTATATGGAGAAGAAGAGTAAATTAGTCGCCAGAAGATAATACTTAACAAATAAAAACTTATACTACTCTCACAAATATAGATAAAATAGAAGCGGCTTACTGTGCAGGCTGTTTGTATCCAAGGTTCACCGTCAATCTGCATTGGAATCCTCTTCCTGGTTCTAAAAGCAATCAACACATATTCTGTAATCACTGTAGGAACAACATAAACTATTTACATTGTAAAGCGTTTATTAATTCATGTTGTATGAACTCCTCCCATAGTTTTGGAGCTGGTAGGTCCAAACTTAGAAGGCGAAATCGGGTGGCTCGGGGGCGTATCCTTATCTATATGGCATAGTCCCGTACCAAGGGGGGATAAAACGCGCATGGAAAGTCTCATAGGAGTGATGATTTTCTAGGAAAAGTCGATGACCTACCCAAATCTGGCATCGAATTTTGGTTTCCCTTGGAATCCCGGGGGCACCAAGTTTGAAACTTTGTTTATACCCTTACTCAAAAGCTACCGAATCTAAACGTGGCACATGTGTTCATGTGCCATGGATGGGCGCAATAATAAGGTTTGTTTTCAGGTACAGACCCACTTTGGGTTAGTATAGAAATATGGAGTAGCTTCCTACCAAGGGGTACCAAGAGGGCTACAAAAGCGCCTGAAAGATCACTCAGATATGATGAGGGTCTAGGCGTATGCTTTCCTAATTGCTGAACCTAAATCTAGCATCATAGTTTGTGTTCTTGTCTCTCAGCGGAATCTGTGAGGCGCCATGTTTGAATTGGGTCCATACCCTCACTCAGAAGTTCGCAGAGCCAAACGTTGCACATTTCCTCAGGTACCACGGGCGGATCTCCTAACGGGTTTCGTTGCCGGGTACTAATCTCCCCCACCCCCTTGGGGGCAGCTATAAAAGTAATTGGAGATAATGAAGAAGCTTTCTCGGTATACTGTAGCCTCTGTGGATCATAAGGTAGCGTTAGAAGCCCGCAGCGAATGTACGTATTTTATTTCGGTGTATTATAAACTAAGTTTGGCTGTGAAATGGCAATAAGTCTAGTCGCAGAATTCTTCATTAAATCCTTTCCGTTGTCCAACAAGCTAAAGGTCGCTTAAGAAATTGAAAATATTTGTACATTTTGCCATTTTATTCGCGAATAGAAACCGTATCAGTACCTGCAAACTACAAACAATAACAGAA